ACACATATACTCGGGGTGGGGGCATGAAAGGGGTGGGGAACCGCTCAGGGTGTCTAAGGACACCTGAGGATGTGACCCTGCTTGTCTAGCGCAGGAGCAGTTATGTAACCAGCATGAGCTAGGTTCCACACTGTGGAAGAAGGTAAATATGAGATAACAACCTGTATAAGAATTATTCAATAAAGGCAGCAGCTTTGGCTCCTGCACCCTGGTGCTCTGCTCTGCTCCACGCTGCCTGCTTTTGTCTTTAAAGTCTTGCACTCCTGCATTAACCCTGGGACCTCACCTTGATAATCTGCCTTGGGCCCACTAAGCAGACCAAAAACAGGTTGCTGCTAGAAGAGGGGCAACCTTCAAACTGCCAAAAGTATCATAAAATTTAAGCTTTTTGTTACAAACTAGGGAAATACAATTTAAATACACAGCAAAATGTTGAACAAACCTGTAGACCGGCGAGACTCCTGGTCTGGAATAAGTGGGATGAAACAATGCAGCACCGGAAAAGAGGGGGGACAGGGAGCAGACTAAAGTAACTGCCCTGGAAAGGAAGTAGAAACTGCCTGGATTGAGCCTAGGGGCCCTGCGCTGAGCTGCACCCCATCCTTTTTATTTGGAGAAAGGTCCCAATCAATCACTCAAGCTCCGCTGGAACCTGTGAGCCTCCTGCCTGCGCCTTCCAGGGTGCTGGCGTCACAGGCTGGCCTTACCGAGCAACTTCTCTGCTGAGTGGCCAAAGCAGAGTCGCGGGCGCCGCTCAGCGCGGTGCTCCAGGAAAGGGGTGTGTTGGAGGCCAGACCAGTTTAAGCCTCCAACAGAGACAGATGTGTATGTACACACTGCAAACCTTCACAGTAAGGACATATTCCAACACCGGTCACCTCTAAAGCAAGCTCAGAATGTCTCGAAATACTCATTTTTGTAAGATGCCTAAGAGCGGACGCGAGATGAAGTCAGGGTACGCACGTCTGCGGGCGTAACAGCGCGGCAACGGGAGAGAATCGTCGGCTCCCTGGTCACGACCGCGCCGCGCCACGGCATCAGCGGTGCGCTCCACAGAGCCCACAGCTCCGCATGTAGAAGCGAGCTCCGCAGAGGAAGCCAGGCCGCCCGACCCGCTCGGCGGAGCCCCGCCCCTTTCAAACCCGTGCGGACCTGCATGAGGACTGCGGCGCGAGGCGGGAAGCCCGCCCCCGTCCGGGGAGGGCAGCGAGCGCGCTTGCGTGTTCCTGTTCACTTTTAATCATCTGCAGTTTTCCTTTCATTAATGGGTTCCACCCTGTGTTCATTAAACAGCGAAGATTTCACATTATTGAACATACATAAAATCCAAGAAGTAAAATATTCTCTTTTTACTTCTGCATATGTGCTCGTGTTTTTTTTAGTGGTATTGGAATAGGTCTATGCTTCTGGTTCCTGCTTTCTCCTTAGTATACGGCGGAAATATGCTGACTTTCTAGAAACAAGGTGGATATATAAATGCGAATTTTGAAGATCTGTGAGGTATACTGCTAAATTCTCTTACACGAATGATAAGTCTTTTTCTTCCAGTAGCACTTCCTTTCAGACCTTCAGCTTTACTAATGCAGGGTACAACCGTTTAAAAAAACCTAATAATTTACATCTGATTTTTTGCATAGAGTTAATTAAAAAAATTTTTTTTTTCTTTGGGACAGTCCCATTAAATATAGGTCAGGCTGGCCTTGAGCTCACTCTGTAGCCCAGGCTGGCCTCAAGCCTCAGCCTCCAAAGTGCTGGATTACAGGTGTGAGCCACCACGCCCAGTTGAGAAATAATTTTTTTATAAAAACTAGGCGGGGGGGGGGGGCAGATGCCTGTAATCCCAGCACTGGAGAGGCTGAGGCAGAAGGGTCACTGCTTGAAAGGATCCTGGGCTACATAGGCTACATAGTGAGCTCAAGGCCAGCGTGAGCTACATCCTGAGACCTTTTCTCAGAAAAAGAAAGAAAAAAAGTTAACCAATGCAGTATATTGCTATCCACACAGATGTGATCAATTTACTTACCACGTCGAAAATTTCACTTAGGATTACTTTTAAAATTTCTGTTATTTCTCTGATCAGTCTATGAGTAGTGCTGAAATGCTATAATTATTGGTGGTACTGAAGACAGTGCTTGACAGAATAATTTACACCTATTAAATATTCAAAAGTTTTGTTACCATTTATTACTGAAATTGCTACTCAAGCAGTTACTACAAAAAAACTTTTAGGATATTAAAACTTCACAGGTTTTTTTTTGAGAAGGTCTCGCTATGCAGTTCAGGCTGGCCTTGAGCTCACTTTGTCGCCCAGGCTGGTCTGGAACTCCCAAGGATCCTCCCACCTCAGCCTCTGAGTGCTGGGATTAGAGGCGTGAGCCACCACGCCCGGCAAAATTTACAGATTTATTACAAGAAAACTAATTTTCATTAATAAGTAGAAAATTGAAATGCAAAGTAAAGAGTATATTTTACCTTTCTAGGAAAGCTTTTATTAAAATAATTACTATATACCTCGTTTTTTGTTGCATATGCTTGATTTTAAAAAAGTTATTTTTCTTAAATTCAGAGAATTTTGATAACTTTTCCTAACATGCAATCTGTTATTTGATGACTGTGTTACTGCAATTTTTTTGTAACAATTATAGTATTTCCAAGGTATTCCATTTAAATTTAATGTATGTGCTGCCGAAGACAGCACTCCATTTAGATTTAATAAAATGAAGATAGGCTTTTTGGGAAAATATTTAAAAGATTTTTCCATAGTTACATGGCAATAAAAAACTTCCCAGACACTGTTTGAAAAACAAAACTAAATAGGTTCGATCAGCAGCAGCCAATCAGTATCATGGAGGGAGTGGGTAGCAGAGGTTCATGGAATGAGCAGGTGCAAGGGCTAATCAGATAAAATCAAGACAAAATACTAATTCTCTGGTGCGAATAGGAGAGCCTTCAGTGCTCTTTCCTGTCTCTCCATCAGAATTTCTATCCCTAGCTTTTTCAAATATATGTAAATCCTTTTAAAGGCTTACTAAGCCTTTCCCAATCTCTCAACTCAGGGAAACCGCCTGCCCGTGTCTCAAATGCACTGACCACAGAAGGCGGCCCGTGTCCCTGTGCCGAAGAGGAGAGAGGCCTGACGGTTGGAAACCTCTGGGGGTAGCCGCCTGGAGGGGCAGGATTTCGCAGCTTTTCATATCTTTAAAGATTTCCTGTGATGTTTCATACTCTGGTTTAACACTTACTCAATTTAGAGATTTTGTTTTAAATTATATTTTCACAACATCAGTGTTAAATGGAGAACATTTGAAACACATTTCTACCTTTAACTTTTTGTTTTTGGTATCAGGGATCAAACTCACAATCTCCTGTTTCCCAGGCAGGTGCTTATGCCACTGAGCTAAATCCCCGGCCCCTACATTTCCACTTTTTAAAAAATGGGTAGAATTCCCAACAGAAGGCCCTTCATTTGAATTCATGAGTTTTTGTGTAGCAGTTCATGAAGATAAGGGTAGCAATAAGTGGTAATGAATTGGTATAATATACCAGTCCAAAACATACTGGTTTTATATACAGATTATTTTGAGATGAAGTCAATTAAAACACACACACACACACACACACACACACACACACACACAGAGACACACACACACACACAGACACACACACACACACACACACACACACGGGCTGGGGATTTAGTTCAGAGGCATAAGCACCTGCCTTGCAAGTGCAGTCGAAAGCTTGATCCCCAGTACCAAAAAAAACCCCAAACCAAACCAAACCAAAACAACAACAACAACAGCAAAAAACTACACAGACAGCAGGTGCTAGAAATGGACTCAGGTATCTCTGTATTTTTCCTGGAAAGAAGATAATGTCAGTAAACCAGTACACCAGTCCCTCTTTGACCAAAGGGAAAGGAATATATATAGTATTGGGAATCAAACTCAGGGCCTTATGCTTGCCAGGCAGGAGCTGTGCTGCTGAGCTTCATCCTTGGCTTGGAAGAACAATATCTTAACAGAAAACTCAGGACAGAAACTAAACAGGAAAGAATTCTGTACAAACCGACCTTGTTACTAACAAAATTCTTAGTGTCCCTTAAACTACCCATATGTTATTGTTGCTTGTCCAAGTCTATTTTTGTTGACCGCATTAAAATGGCATTGACTGTTTTTGACTTCTTTAGGTCTTCAATTTATTAGGGAGTATGTGTCCCATAAAATTTAAATACATTTCGGTGGTTTTCTCTTGTTAATCTGTTATGTCAGTTGAATTCTGAGGCCCACTCACAAAAACCCCTGAGGATACAGGTAGAATTTTCTTTGCTACAGTGAATATCTGAAATTTGTCAGACTCTAGTTTTGGTCATCAAATAGCTGGAATGTTTAATTTTGTATAAATATACAGAGTATATGACTTAAAAATGTGACGGTATTTGGACTTTTTTTTTTTCTGGTACTGGGAATTGAACCCAGAGACTTCACAATGAGCTACACCTCCAGGTGGGCTTCTTACATTATTAATAGTGGGGTCTTGCCAAATTGGCTACACTGGGCTTGAACTCGGGAGCTTCTCTCTTGCCTCAGCTTCCCAGAGGCTTGGTGTTTAACAAAACGATTTTTCTGTATTATTACTTTCGCACTATGCAACAAATCTACCTATATTTGCAAAATATACCCGCATCTAGCCACTATACATTACTAAGTTGGGAGACATTCAAGGACAGAACTAAAGAGCAAAATCTGCGTTGCAGCTTCTAAAAACCCTACCGAGTGAGTCAGTGTTCCTAGTAGCTTACCGGGGTGGGGGTGGGGTGAGGGGCAGTACCAATGCCTCTACTGTTGCTATGGCGTCTTCATTCCGAAATAGTCATTTATACTAGGATTGGAGTTTTATCACATAAAAACAGTGAAAAGGTGCGAGTGTTTCTCAAATGTCTGTGACTAAGTTGAGCCACGGTTAGCGACCAATAAATGTCAAGTTCTTTTTTTGAAAACGTGTGGCTCTGAAAAGAGCCTTTGGTTTCGTAGCGGTGTTTGGAGCCTCACTTGCCCTTGGCCTTGTGGTGGCTCTCGGTCTTCTTGGGCAGCAGCACGGCCTGGATGTTGGGCAGCACGCCACCCTGAGCGATGGTGACCTTGCCCAGCAGCTTGTTGAGCTCCTCGTCGTTGCGGATGGCCAGCTGCAGGTGGCGCGGGATGATGCGGGTCTTCTTGTTGTCGCGCGCCGCGTTGCCCGCCAGCTCCAGAATCTCGGCCGTCAAGTACTCTAGCACGGCCGCCAGGTAAACAGGGGCGCCGGCGCCCACGCGCTCGGCATAGTTGCCCTTGCGCAGCAGGCGGTGCACGCGCCCCACCGGGAACTGCAGGCCGGCGCGGGATGACCGCGTCTTGGCCTTGGCGCGAGCCTTGCCCCCCTGCTTACCGCGTCCAGACATCCTAACAAGAAACACAGTGAACCTACTGGTCTGTAGACTTGCCAGTACAGAAAGTGTCCTTTTATAGCGTCTTCTGGGCGCGAAAAGGAAGCCGTGCGATTGGCCACTTTTCATTTTTGTTTACACCAATGGAACGCGGCTATGAGAACCGCCTACTTTTCCTCCCCCCCGCTGGGCGGGACTGCTGGGTGACGTCACAAGAACGAACTCACCAATCGACGAAGAATTTTTGTGCGCCTCATTTGCATACCGTGGGCTAGATAAGGCAGCGCCTGGCCGGTCTCCACGTAGTGTGTGTACTCCTCCACTGTGGTTGCAAGATGCCGGAACCTGCGAAGTCAGCGCCAGCCCCGAAGAAGGGGTCGAAGAAGGCGGTTACCAAGGCGCAGAAGAAGGACGGCAAGAAGCGCAAGCGCAGCCGCAAGGAGAGCTACTCGGTGTACGTGTACAAGGTGCTGAAGCAAGTGCACCCGGACACGGGCATCTCGTCCAAGGCTATGGGTATCATGAACTCGTTCGTGAACGACATTTTCGAGCGCATCGCGGGTGAGGCGTCGCGCCTGGCGCACTACAACAAGCGTTCGACCATCACATCTCGGGAGATCCAGACGGCCGTGCGTCTGCTGCTGCCCGGGGAGCTGGCCAAGCACGCGGTGTCGGAAGGCACCAAGGCTGTCACCAAGTACACCAGCGCCAAGTAAAACTGGCAAAAGCGTCACATCTACACCCAAAGGCTCTTTTCAGAGCCACCATCCTATCAAAGAGAGAGCTGTGCTTTTTTTCCTGTGCTGACATTTGGTGTTGCTGTGTTGCTCTCATTACAACTTGTAAATATGTAAGAGTTAATGTAGGTAAGTGTAGGTGTTACCTAGGTGGTCGGCCACCTACAGGGTACTGAGGGATTATCCCCTGGCCGCCGGGTTTTCGTGGCTAGTTTGAATTTCCCGGGCAGCTTCTCTGCTTGTGATTGGCGGCGGGTTTTTCTGGGCGCTCCTTTCTCCTTCCCGTGTCTTGATTGGTCACCTAACTAGAAAGTGGGAGACGCAGGGCGCGCCCACCCAGGTCGGCGGGCGAAGTCGGTAAAGGAAAGCGTTGTGGGTGAAGAATGTCTTTCCTTTTTCCATTCCGCATTTTATCTTTTTTAGCATGTGATTGGTTACCTCCCGCACCTATTGTTACAGAGGCGAGAAGTGGAAAATATCAGTGTTTTATTTGTGGCTGGAGCACGAGGAGCGCGGCTCGCGTTGCGGAAATCCGGGCTCCAGAGACTAAATCGGCTCCCACTTTAAAGTTAGTGCTTTGGTTGGCATTTTAAGTTGTTTGGAATCCGAGGGAAAATGACTTTCTGCGTCCTTCGGAAGGTTTTAAATGAGAACCAGTCTCCCAAGTTCTTTCTAGACCACAACTTCAAAATTGTGTTTAAGAGACGTTTGGAAGCTTCCATGATGGGTTTGGTTTAAAAGGGATATTTCCGCAATTTTAAGTTGATGTCTTATTTTATCTAAATGAGTGTTAGTACAGGAAGAATATCTAGATAGTGTGTATTTGCTTCAATTTTTTGTGGAGTGTGCTTCCCCCCTTGTTAACCTACATCTTGCCAGCTGTTCAGAGCCATTAATCTCTTACTGCGCTGAAATGTATTTTGAATTTCTAACAACCCGTTCAGCTTTTGGAAGCGCCCTCCCTCTGTTCAGCTGCATATTTCTTAAGTACATCCAGCTCTGCCCACGTTGTATGTATTTTCCTTAATAAAGACATGAAAAAACGAGGAAAAGGAAACGGCAAAAGGTTTTTTCTTACTACACTTGACATCCTTAGCTATATCCTAACGATATAATTAAGACCATTGAATAAACATAAATATAATCACGTACTTGTTATGTCATTTGAGCCTCTGGTACTATTCCAGATGATCAGATGATCAGATGATCATTTGCGAGCTAAATGCTTGGTTGGATGTTTCTTTATCTTACAGGATTAAGATATTGGAGTAAAAAGCAGACTTTGGGGGAGAAGAGGGATTCAGGCAGAAGACTCATAGACATGCAATCCAGTCAGCCACAGGTGACAATTTATAAAGAGTCGATTTTTGAAAACTTAGCAGACTGAACTACCTAAGTGGTAAGTAAATCAGACATTCTCTTTTCGGGTTGTTTGTATTCAAGTAGAGTCCCCTCAAGGATGAGAGTGTTCGAGCTTGGGGAACAGCTCAGTGGTACAGCATTAGACTTCAATCTCGAACACACACGAACATGCACATGCATGCACACATATGAGCTCACACACACGGAAGACTTTAATTCTTTGCTTGGAAACTAAATGTCAATTCAACCCAGAGCTAACTAGCTCTGAAAGAATTCATTCAAAGCTAAACTATCACAGTACATCTTTAAAAGAATGAACACTGTGATATATTTTATATAGAGAGGTAGGGAGGTAGATATCACAAAATAAACAGGTATTTTATTTTTCATTCACAGTTCTGGGAAATGGCAGATCCTCCCCAGTGATTACAAGCCAAAGGCCTATATAGCGCGCGCCTTGAATGAAATACAAGCAGCTGCTTTTAAGGGACTCTTTCTCCCCTGACTCTATCAAATGATACTTTGTTTTTCTACTACACACATACTAAAAAAAAAAATGTGCAATTATTATTGTAATCAAGACACCCGCCAACTGTCCACCCTGGGTGGATAGAGGTGTAGTCACAGCACTGAAAAGTAAGAGTCCTGGATCGTGATACCTTGCCGCCGTCTATTCAGTCAAACCATTGTCTTGGGTAAGTTAGCTTCATAGTGTGCAGTGTCCTCGAGCTTTATTTTCAATTTTTGATATCAAACATATATAAAACAGTAATATATTGGCAAACTGTTCATTGATTTGAATGACTGATTTTAATTTTGGAGTGTCACTTTCCCTCATCCTCTCTCTGAGTTTGGATGTGTAGAGTCTGCACTCACTGCATGAAGGTGTTATTTGTATTCTGTACATGGAAGCAGAGTTGAAGTTTTAAATTTTATTTTGAGACAGGGTCTCACTGTGTAGTGCTGATTGGCCTTGAAGTTGCTTATGTAATCCAGGCTGGCCTCAAGCTCATGGTGAGCTTTGGTAAATGGTATGGATCAGAATCAAAATCTATTTAAGAGGAATAGCAACTAAATGCCATGTATGGAACTGAGGAGATTCGTACTCAGACCAAATTGTTGTAAGAAAAAGATTCTAGTTAATTATTGATGTCTTAAGAGTGAGGCAAGTAGCGGACCATTAAATTTCCCCCTTAGATTTGGAGTTTTATCGTGCATCTCCACATCCGTGACTGTTAGGGCGCCCTTGGATGCTTTCCTGAGGGAGATGATGGTGGCCCCACCCTTGCCTGCTGTGGTGCGGACTGAGGGACACCCCTGTGGGTGACAGCCCAGCCCACGCTGGGGTCCTGGGTGCAGTGGTCCCTGTGCCTCGGCCTATACCTCGCTTCAGACCTCTTCCTTGGAAAAAAACGGTTTAAAAAGGCGCAGTTAGTGGAATGTTTTCCTTTTGGTCAGCGAGGGCTCACACTAAGGAATCGGGCACCTCTAAAGGGAAATTCAGGCTTTTGAACGCAGGGAGCCAGCGGGGCTGCTCGGTTCTTCCGGTGACACCAGGCGGCGCTGCAGGCCCTTGCCCCCGCGATAGCCAGTCGGGAGGTGTTATCGCCATCTCGTGGCCATTGCGGGTAGTGCAGCTGAGGTGGGTTAGTCTGGTTTTCCATTAGGACTTGGATTTCATTGCTTGGGTTTAATATTTGAATATGTGTGGTTCCACCCATGCCGGCCGCACCCACCTTCTCAGTTTACTTGACAGATTCTCTCCATGACCCACTCCAGTCCAGCTCTTCTGAGCCCTCTCGCTGGTCCCCAGCCTGAACGAATGCATCATTTCTGACAGCCTCCATTCTCGAGTGCCTGCCTAAGGAAGTCTGCTGAGGCCGCCAAGGATTTGCACTCTGCTTCCGTCACCCAGCTCTGCGGAAAGACGGGACCCCAGCTCCTAAGGGCAGGTGGGATCCACGGGCCCACACCCCCTTCCACTTTAGCTTTTGTGGCGTTTCGCCCCCAGACCCTTGCCTCCCCCCACGTCCCCCCTCACCACTCAGACTGCTCTGTTACATCTGCCACTGCTAAACAGATCACTGCTCGGAGCCTGAACTGGCTGGTTCATCCTTGACATGGTGCTGGAAGAAGCCGCAACACTAGCAGCTTGCTGTGTGCCTGTCTGGCATGTGTTTGTATAAGGAAAAAGAAACAGGCAGCCACTTGTTCCCTTGATTGCGAACGGCCAGTGTCGCTGTCCCTCCTCCTGTTGCTTCTCCCCTGTCTGTGAGGACACAGACGGAAACACTGCCCTGGGAAGCGAGGGCAAGAGGAAGGGCCGCGGTTGGTCAACATCTGCGGAGTGAAAAATACAGAAAATGATTTCTTTTGGTGTGTTTCTGAGTTTCATTCGGAGCGTTAAAAAATACATGCACTAAAAAAATCTTAAAGTGTTTAAACATACCAGCAAACAAGGAGCAGCAACTGACAACGGGGAAATATTCTCACTATGTAAAACTAAAGAAGTCAATGTTAATATTTTATTACAGATCTCTTCCAACTATGTCAATGCTATGTAGACATAAAAATTTGTGGGTCTTTTTCTTTCTAGCTCCTATATTACTGCCAAAATACTTCATTCAAAAATTTGGAAGCCCCAATAAAAGACTGCTCCAGCGTAGGGACTTAGCCTATCAGCAGATGTGGGAGAGGAGCTGCTGAGCACTCTGCTCCGGTGGCTGACTGTAGCCTGCAGGCCACCGCTTTGGCCGGGTCTGCCCTGAGCTGTTTTTCCTGACCTGTCGAGGTTGGGACCCCACTGTTTACCTCCTCACGGCCTCCTTTGGTTCTTCACAACACTCCCGCAGAGAAGTCTCTAATGACGGATTGGCCTTTGTTTTCCAGACCCTTCCTAACTGTGGCTGGGTCAGAGGTGCAGATGCCTGGGTAGTGTCTCCCTTCTCCACCCTGCTGCTAGCCTTAGCAGCCAAACCCAGGGGCTGGCAGGACTTGCAGCGCTGTTCCCAAAGCATTTTCCCTTGCCATTTTCACCGCTTGTCCCAGGGATATACTTTTGTGGATGTAAATTTTCAAAACCTGTACCAAGGCTGCTGGTTTTCTTTGTTTTGATGGTGGTGGTGGTGGGGACCAGGGATCCAACACATGACCTCACACCTGCCAAGCAGGTACTGGCCCCAGGCTGTTTGGTTTTGAAGCCCACTAGTGCTGGCGCTGCCCTCGGGCCCTCTTCTGCAATTGTGTGTCTTATTTCCGAGTTGGAGAGCTACATACTAAATAATAGCAATTAATGGTATGCCTACAGGCTTACTGTTTTAAAAATCTGATGTGTGAAATACTTTGAACATGAAAAGGGTGAGGAACAAGAAGGCTGGAGTGAGCTCACTACTCTTCCCTTTAGGCTCCTCCCAGCTGGCAGCCCCTTGTAGGGCTCAGCCCCACATCACTGCAGCCACCTTGGCGGTTTTGCCCGTCCCCAACCCAACAGGACACACAGACTTTGTGAGACAGGCGACCATGGTCCTGGCCTCACCCAGGCCCGAACACTGTCAAGCTATTTCTACAAGTTTCCCAGAGTGGCGGGACTTCTCTACCTTTCCTCCAGCAGATACCAAGTTCCTGCTGCTCCACATCCTCAGTAGCATTTGGTGTCAATGCATTTTGGGGAATTTGAGCTAATCTGATTAAAAGGTGATACCTGAAGCATTGCTAATAATGTTAAAAGTAACCGCCCATAATACCCTTGTTTATTAGAAGCACATGACACACAGTTTTAGGAGTACTATGAACTCAGCGAGCCTTCTGAAGCTGGGTGGCTGGTGTGCAGGACCATTCTTTCTACCAAACGTGGGCCAACAGGAGTGGACCTGGGCTGCTGGGCTGGGGTGTAGGCCAAGCAGAGCACTTGAGAAAAAAGCGGTACTTTTTTTTTTTTTTTTTGCCCAAATCAAAATCTCTATAATATATGACTCAGAAATTGTGCATATAAAAATATAAACCAGAAGAAATGCACAAGAACGTTCTTAAGTAATAGAATTTGAAATAGCTAAAAGGGAGACAGGTTCATCACCATGGAATCAGGCCTGTGACCCCGCAGAGCCCCAGTTCCTGTTAATTATGTTCTGCACGATCTCAAGTGTGGCCAGACCCTCCAGATCACTTCCACTAGAACAGAATACGCTGCGAGCCAACGGAGGTCACTTCTGAAATGAGGTTGTGATGGATCTCGAGCTCTCCCTGGATGTCTGGCTCTTGCTGCTGCTTTGGTGAAACCAGCCGTCCTGTGGAGGGGGTCACATGAAGGGAGCAGAGAGTGAGCTCCAGACAGCAGGTGGCAGCGAGCAGAGCTCAGTCTAGCATCCTGTCTACAGCCCTGTGCCAGGGACCAGGGCAGCCAGGCTATGGAAGCCCCTGCAAGCCTTGGTGGTGGCTTTGTGAGGGTCATCACGCCAGTTTAGGAAGCTACTCCTATTCCAGGTCCCTGACACTCAGAAGTCGAAAGAGAAACGTTTTAAGCAGGGAAGCTTTAGGGATTTGCTGCACAACCACAATGAACACAAAGGCATAAGTAAATTGTAGCCCTTCGCGCTACTGTTGTGTGGGAGCCCGGAGGGAGTTGCCTCCTGGTTCTTGCCTCCTGAATGAGAACTGAGCAGGAGGCTCACAAGCAGTAAGAGGAGCCAGGTTTACTTTTCAAAAGGAGTAAGGAAGAAGCAGAGGCACCCTCCGCAGGGGGGCCCAAGCGGGGCAGCGCTGGATCCTGGGGCCCGGGGCTGTGGGAGGATCTGGAGCCGGGGAGGGCCCAGAGCCGAGGCGACTATGTCCAAGTTATAAAGCCAGTGGAGGCCACGTCGCCGCCCAGGACCCCAGCCGTGTGCGAACCCAAAAGTATCTGATCCTGGTCTGCGTCCAGCCTTGGCTGCCCTGTGGTTCTGACCCCTGCCCTGTGGCCTTAGATGCCAAGACGCTGCCTCTAAAAAGCCTCGTGGTGTAAAACTCCCCCTCGCACCAGTGGGCGGAGCCAGATCCCCCTTGTCCTCGCTCCGCCTCCTGCGTCACGGTGAGGAGCTATGGGAAGCGGGAGTGGACAAATTACGTGCACAGCAACAGTGACGCTTGCTGAGTACTGTTAATGCAGAATGGAAAATGTATTTACATGAAGTTCAGATTCAAGTGAGCATTTAAGAATAAAAAATTAACAAAATAAAATGTGAAGCAGCAATGAAAGGGAAAGCCAATTTAGTGGTTACTTTTGAGGAGGAGAATGGACAGTGATTGGGGGAAGCGATTACACACCCTGATCCTTGTCACTAATAAAGCGGTGTATTTTCAAATTTTTTTTTGGTACCAATAATTGAACTCACGACCTTGCACTTGCCAGGCAGTTGTTTCTGCCACTGAGCTATTTCTCCAGCCCTATTTTAAATGTTTTATAACTAAATAACTGAATACCTTGTTTAAAAAGAGCAAAATAAATCTGCAGTAAGTTATCCTAAGAATTGATAAGTTTATCGTAAATAAAAGCATATGCAGAGAATGGAATTTGAGAAAATTCTGATTGCTGTACTTACTAAATAGACTCAAAATGCACCAGAATACATATCATAATGTAATTTATAGGAATGTAAATGTTATAAATAATCATTATTCATCTGGACCCATTCCATCTCCTAAAGAGAACTCATTTCCAAAACAGAGGTAGGGTGCAGCAGGTCATAGCATGTCCTGTTCTGACGGCTGCGGTTGTTGGGATAATGACAAAGACACCGCATCTAAGTGACAGTTGCTTGTGCGGCAGGTGCTCGAGGGCGTGTGGTCCGGGCCGGCTGCAGAGAGGCCCTAACTTTTGTAAGAGTACATTTTTTGGTCTTTGTGGTCGTTACTTAAAAACGACTCAACCCAAGTTTTTGAACTTCATGAGAAGTGGGTCCCCTCGGCGTCTTGCGGGAAGGACACCTGTTCCTCCCTGCGTACCGACCCTGACTTCCAATCAGCCAAGGTGAAAGTCCAAGCAAATTACACCGACAGCCACGGAACAGGAAAACTTCAGGTTCTCTCTTTTTTTTTTTTTTGTCTTTTTCGTTTCGCAAAGCCAAATGACTTGAGTTATGTTAGGTGCTACTGGCGAGAAAGCTCATCAAAAGGTCACTACCGACGAGGGTGGGATTCGAACCCACGCGTGCAGAGCACAATGGATTAGCAATCCATCGCCTTAACCACTCGGCCACCTCGTCAGCACGTTGGAGGGCGCTCGTGCTTCTTGCCTGAGGACACGTGCGTCTCGGAGCGCGCTTGGGACTCCGCCGGCGGCTGGGGAGGGCGCCGCGCGCAGAGCTGGGGGCGGGGCGGAGGAGGGGGCGGGGGAGGGGCGGGGAGAGGGCGGGGGCAGGGGCAGCGCCAGCTTCCTTTCACCTGGCGGAGTCTTTTTTCCATACTTGGCTCAGAGTTTACCTCTTATTTTTAATTAAATATTGAATTGTTTTTATTGGTCCACATAACAATGACGCACCTCGTGGGGAGTTGGACCATGTGCGTAATGGAGAAAAGACGTGAACGTTAGAACAGAAGCACGGAACTTGCTGGAGATTAAGCAGATGAACGGGAGACAGGCACGAGCGGGAGCTTTTTGAGCAAAACCCAGCTGCACAAGCAATAGTATAAAGGATCCGCAAGCAGGCGCATCAAACTAAGAAGCTTCTGTGCGGATAGGAAGCAATGTAGAAAGTGAAGCCACAGCCTGCAGAATGGCAGGCATTCGCCAGCTGTTCCCTGGACAGAGGATGCATAGCTGGAAGATGTACCCGCTCTTCTCCAATTGCCACTGTGGACACCGGAGCTGCCTGTCATGGTTGATACACTGTGTCAACTTGAGCAGTTTATAAGTTTAACTAAGAGACTCAGCAGGGAGCCAGGATCTTAACTTTGTAAACACCCTTATCGCGTGCAAGAGGAGGGCCTGGAGATCTTGTGAGGCTGCACCCGCCCTGGAGTGGGTGTGTGGCAGGTGGTCTGTGTACAGTGTAAAGGAAGGAAAGAGGCTTGCTCTCCCCGTTTTTGCTCCGGCTGCTTTTGCTGTCTTCTGCCGTCTTGAAATGTTGCGTGCCATGCCACCCTGCCTTGGAGTCAGCTGATTATGAACTGAAACTTCCACAGTGAGCTAATAAACCTTTCCTTCCTTCATTTTGGTTGTCAGGTATTTTGTCCCAGAAGTGATAGAAAGGTAACCAAGACACTGTCCATTGATGCTGTTGCTACCAAGAAACAGAAGTCACTTGAGCTCATCACCCACGGAGAGAAATTGCAACGCATAGTAAGAGGGGCCATGTGACAATTCCATGAAGACATGAGAGAGAAAGGGTGTGGAAAGCCTCCTGCTAATGCTCTTTAGAGGAAATAATGACCCTGCATTTTCCTCTTCCCGCTGCCTGTACTGCAGGGAAGGGCGACACCAGAGGAGAGAAGGGCAGACTGGCTCAGGAGCTACAGGGATGAGGAGCCGGGGGAGGAGACTTCAACAGGTGCCCTGCAGCGGACCTCCTGGGCCCCACTGACACCCGTGGACGTCACTGGGCACTCGGGAGACCGGAGATTCCTGCACGCTGCTGTTCTCTTTGAGTCTCTGTCACAAAGACAAAATTGTATTCTGACACATGTATTTTTATTGCTTTTGATTTCTTTTAAACTTAGTGTTTTCTGCAGATTTCCCAGTCACCTCTTTCCTCACCTTGAGCAGCTCCACATACAGAACTTCCAATCATTTTTTTTGGTCCTCAAAATATAGCATCGTTTTTATTGAATTAGAATTCACTACTTCTAATTACCATGGACACATATTCACACATCTTTCATGTTTTCTTTTTCTTGTAATCCACAAACGAGTCCCCAAACTCGAGTTCAAAAAATGAGGCAAAAACATATTTTTAAAAAAGCAGTGCTGATTTATTCTGGGCCCAGCGACACAGTGCAGCTGGAGATTGCAAAAGCTGTGTGTTGTTCCTCTATACTTGCAGCCTTTGTGTGCATATCACAGTTTACAGAGTAAGGGGTTATGGGCGTGGATCAGGAAATCTGCTAATGAGGAAGACCTGTGTTTTCCTTAGCAGAGGGTAGAGTAGTCTAGCAGTAATTAACAATCCTTTGTCAGCTGATTCTAGCACCACATCTGTTATTTGTAGAGGGCAACAATGGTTAACATATCAGTTAGGCTACGTTTTTTAGGGACTTACAGTTTTTTACAGAGGGGAGCATTGATTCACATATCAATTAGGTCACCCAGAGGGGGAAGAAAAACGCATACAGAACAGTATGCCACGGTACAGGTATTTTGGTCATATAAACATAAGGAAGCTCTTTTTGCTAGGGTACAGCAGTTTTCTGACCATGGATACTTCTTTTAAAATATTCACCACCCATAAATCACTATTAAAATTTTGCAATAAATAAATAAATAAACAAACCTCAGCAGTCACACACAGCCCCTGGCTTGCTCCCAGCCCACCGTGCAGTCCTGCGCCTGCCTTTGCGTCAGATGCCGCGTCCCAAAGATTTCGCTGACAGAATACAATTCGCCGTGGTGGAGCACAATGAAAAGTGTTTATGGGAGAAGAAACTTTAAATATTCTTGTGTTAGAAAACGTCTCTGACACTTCTCCGACTCTCCCAGAATGACTGTGTATGGAAAGCTAGACTGGGAATATTTTCTTGCAGGGTTTGGAAATGTATTTCGGGATCGAGGGGGAGCTCTCCGTGCCCTTCTAGCTTTCCGTATTGTTGTCAAATTCCTGATATTTTTGCCGTTAGCGTTTGCAGTCTTGCTCAGCATGACTTCTTAGCTTTGATGCTTTCAAATGTCTGAAACATAAACTTTAATATATTTCTATTTTCATTTATTACGTTGAGAACCTTTTTTACTACACTAAATCATTGATTTTATTTTGGGAAATTAGCTTGATATTTTTGTTATTGATTTTCTTCTTTTTTTTTCCTGTTCTTTCTTTTCTATCTCTGGAATTTCTTTTACTTGGAGTTTAAACTTCCAGAATGTTTTCTCTGCTTTCTACAATTTTCAATGTTTTATATTTTAAAGAATTATTTTAATTCATCAATATTTTATTATTCAATTAATAGCTTATTTTATTTTCAGTTTACTGAAAAAAATAATGTTCCCGTTTTCCCTTCTACTACTTACAGGTTATATTATGGCAGTACATTAGCTACAACTGGTAAAATGGTGTTGACACATTAACTAAAATTTGTAGCAACTAACTAAGCGACAAAAGCAGACACTAGGCGATTCTCAGGGGGCTTCTTAACTAGCTAGGTGCGCAAAAGGGGAAGGGCTGGGAGGTTGGGGCGGTGGTGGTACAGGGATCCGAGATTATCAACATGTATTGTATGCTCCAGTTCCCGCAAACGGACTATTATGTATTGTAAGCATACGTTAAAAAAGTGCCATGGGGTAGAATGTTAAATTTTATTCCATCATTGCTTTCGTCACATCCTGCACTGAGGTGCACTCAGTATTCACTAATGATTCTATCGAATGAAAACCAGCCAAGGCATTGGTGAAACGCAGGGACAGAGTGCCTCGGGAGTGCTAAATAAAGCCCGGGCGCCCCCCGGCGTAAAAGGAGGGAATTACGCCTCTGTCGGTGGCTCTGCAGTTCAGGTCTTCCGCCGGCACGCCGCCGCGCACACGTACGGCCTACGTCAGCACGCACGCATGCACGTTCGCACGCGCTGGGGCTGTCCTGGAGACTTGTTCCGTCTCCCGGTGTGGGTAACCCGGAAGACGCTTTGTAGTCCTTAAACTTTCGAGAGAAAACGCGGCGGGCTCGTTCGAGGCTTGAATCCGGGACCTCTCGCACCCGAGGAGAGAATCATACCCCTAGATGAACGAGCCGCCCGCCGGGCCTGCCGGCCCGCGCCCCGTGGGCGGAGGAACGCGCCGGAATGGGGGTGGGGCTGGCGCGCTGCGCGCTGGCGAGCTCGCGGTCGCACCCGCACCCGTCTGCGGGCTGGGTCGCCCTGCGAGACGACTCACCCGTGGGTAGGTCCCATTCATCTTCTGCAGGCCAGAAGGAATTGGACCGATCATCGTGCCATTCCACGCAAGCGGTTACGGTTCCGCCGTGTTCCTCCCGCCTCGTCTCTTCCTGGGGAAAGTGGGTGCTGTTACTGCGCGAGTCCTCTGCGCCTTTGCGCTAACCAGGGGTATCTGGGGATACCCGAAGTTCTTCTGGAGGAATCGCCCCATCTCAGCTAAGGGCCAGGGTGAGGATTTCGTAACGTTATCTTTTCAGGGGCACAAAGCTAGCAGTATCGCAGATCTCGGGAGGTTACTGAAAGCGCTGCCTAAGCTGAAAAGATGTGTCCTTGGGAACACATCTAAACCAGTTTAAGCCCTTGGTAAAATGTGTAGATTGAGCTAACGCGTATTTTCAGTTTCATTTTGGTGTACGGAATTTGATGCAGTTTTTTTTGAAAAGTGTCCCTTATTCAGTTTAATCTTCTAGTTTATCAGTGACTATTTATAGGGTGTCTGTTACCAGAAATGGATCTTTTTGTAGCTACAGTAAAAATAGTAATTTTTCTTGAACAAGAGAGAAGGAAACTCAGTCCTTTGTGAAAAGCAGACTAGATTTAAAGCAGTGTTGATTTGAATTTTGACATGAATTTACTGCCTGGGTTTCACATGATTATAAAGTTACTGGGCTTTCCTGAATATGTCTGCTTCTGCCCACTTGCTAGAATCATAAATCTTTCTGTTGGAAGCGAACGGCCCACTGTGTACATTGAAACTTTGAGAAATCTCGATCGGTTCCTCTTAAATGGGGGTTGGGGTGGGGTGAGTAGGAGTGGAAATAATTCCTCACTGCCCTCAAACTCGGTGATGCCTGTGGTCCCGCCTCAGCTTTCCTCTCTCATGAAAATCTGTTCTCTTTGCCAAACTAGGTTGGCGTGGCTAAGAAGTACTCAGCCTGAACCCCAAGGCCTGGCAAAGGGTCAGGCCCTTGATACACAACCTGGAGCATTTCTGCTCTTCCGGAAATCAACTGGTTTCCTAATTTGGGGACTGAACTTAGTGGTTTTGAGGTTGCGCTCTTCCCCAGTCCCATTTCCTTAATCCTGTGTTACCTTCATATTCATAAGAGAAACCTTGTAAGGATTATCAGCTACAAGGAATGATCATCTGTAAGGAATTGAGAGACTGCTGCTGATACTGGATCGACTTCTAGAGTCTGTTTTAACTGTCAGAGGATCAAAGGATTCTGTGTTGAGTTTTAGCAAAATATAAGGATTTCCGTTGTGAAGCAGATATGGTAGTAATCTAATTTTGGGGTGCAATCCTCTTACTTAGGGTACCTAATATTTCTTATGTATTAGTACGTATTTGCAGTCCATGACACATCGTAGTTCATTTTTACACCCTCTGCCCCTCCTTCTCCCTCCCATCTATCCATCTCCTTCCTGCTTGGGAAAGATCAGTCTCCCTACGTCCTATTATCTGTCTTTTATTTTTCTTTTTATTTATAATTTGGGTTTTTCATAAATAGAAACTCTGTAATGTTTGTTTGTGTGTGATTTATCTCACTTAACAGGACGGTCTCAAGGTGCATCCATTTCTAAAGAATCACTCAGGTGTACTCCATCCAATATAGGTAAATACTTGCTTCATCCATTTATCTGTTCATGAACGTTTAGGCTGCTTCCAAGGTGTGGCTGTGAGCACTTGTGCTGCTGTAAACATGGGTCTGCAGGTGTTACCATAATGTGATGACTTCCACACTTTTGGCAAGGTACCTAGTATTTCTTAATTGGATGTTTTTATTGTGTATGTCTCAGGTCCACAGCATGATGTTTTAATGTCTTAGGAGTGGTTACTGCAGTCAGGCAGTTTAACATTGATCGTCTCATATGGTTACTGTGTTTTAAACGTGTGTTAAAAGCAACTAAAATCTACTCTTTGCAAATTTTCAGCAAACAGCACAATATTACAGTTACTATATTTTGTGCTTCACATTGGGTCTGTGACTTAATCATCTTACATAGCTACAGCTTTTTACCTGTAAGTGGATGTCTCTGTTCTCTGTGTCTTACGGTTGTGACCATTGCTACTATAATCAGGGGAGCATTGATGCCTCCACCTGTGGATTTCATTGCCCATGGATTTGTGTCCGGCAGGGCAATTTCTGGGTCATGTAGTAGTTCTATTTGAAAACCTTTGAGTAACTTTGCTACTGTGTTTCCTAATGGCTGTACTCATGTCCCTGCTGCCCATGGCCAAGGGTTCTGTTCACACCCCCACCAACTCAGGTGCTCTTCATCTTTCTGATGCTAGCCTAGCCATTCTCAGGGGTGTGCCATGTCTCACTGTGGCTTTTTCATTTTGTGTTTGATTAGTGATGTTCAATGTTTTCCATGTATCTGTTGATCATTTTATGTCTTCTTTTGAAAAACCTTCATTCAGATGTTTTACCTAATTTTTAATCAGGTTATTTTATTTCTATGCTGTTGAATTTCTTATACAGTTTGGTTTTTAACCCTTTAGAAGATGTATGGTTTAAAAGTGCTGTTCTTTTAATTCTCAAGTTGCCTTTTCATTTTCTTTTTATTATATTTATTTAATACTGACAAATATGTACATATTTACATGCATGTATGGCTACATCAGACTGATACATGTATGCATTACCTCAGTTTTCATTTTTTCTGTCATAAAGGCATGTAGAATTTATGCTCTTAGGTTTGTGTTTTTCATCATATTTGGGAAACCAGCCATTATGTCTTCAAATATTAAGTAAAAGTTGAGAGAAGAAATGATGCAGAATACATCTTACTATTTTGATTTTATTGGTTACAGACGTATCCATACATCAGAAATGAAAGACAGTTGTTATTACTTACCCACCTCAGTGTTTTGTAGAATGAAATGTGTACACTTTCTCCTCCCTGTCTGTCTCTCCTTTCAGGTCTGGAGCAGTTTTAATCACATACTTCTTTACAGTTATTTTCTGCTTAAGATTCTGGATTGAATTTACATTTTCTCAACTTGATTCTGACTCTTCACTGGGAAGCTCAGAAGAGCCCCTTTCTTTTTTTTTTTTTTTTAAAGCCTACAGCACCCGGTGTTCCCAGGTAGTCTCCCATCCAAGTACTAATCAGGCCCGACCCTGCTTAGCTTCCGAGATCAGACGAGATCGGGCGCGTTCAGGGTGGTATGGCCGTAGACAAGAGCCCCTTTCTTAGAAACCCAAACTCCAGAGCACTCTTAACAGTTCTGTGCCACTAATCACTGAACATATCCTGACTCACCGAGACACTGCCTGTTCTTAAGCTCAGTGGTGTCTTCTTTGTGGTTCAGGGTCAAGTGTTGTCCTTTACTTTATGGGAGACCGTTACGTCCATTCTTAGGAGTCAGTTCCTGAAACCCCCGCCAGGAATGTCCACCTAGTCTTGCTCTTTATGCTCGGTACTGGAAAAGGTGGTCACAGGGATGATGTGACCCTAAGACACAATACACCGTTCACCTTCATGTAAGCCACAGTTATAGAGAAAGAGAAGCTCCAACACACATCGTGATACACAGATAACTTCAAAGTCTGTGGAAGACAAGAGGACCCCAGGGAGTCTGCAGCCAGCCTGGACTGCAGAGTGAGATTCAGTCTCACCCCCACCCCCACCAAGAAAAGAAGCTGTGTGAACAGTACAATCCAAGTGGAAATGAGTGCTTAATTATTGTTTAGCAGAAGAACAAAAGCCCAAATATTTACAGAAACCGTAACAGAGATGTGGTAGCAGATGCTTAAGGAAGAGGTAGAGGTCTGTCTGTCACTGCTCTAAGAGTTTTTACTGTGAGTGAGTTGTATTAGTAAGCTGTCCTGTCACAGAGATACATCCCCATACCTATTGGTGAGTGTTGAAGCCGAGCACACCTGCAGGCTGTGGCGTGGCTGGGACATGGCTGGACTGAGAACGAGGAGACACCTTGGGGTAAGACAGGCCACAGCTGAGGCCACCTGGAGACTTTCTGGGTGGTTTCCCTTAATTAGCATTGTCTGTTGCTCTGAGGGGCCCTTGAACCCAGCCCAAGATCCTGCTCAGGTTTCCTCCACTATCCATTCAAATCCTTATGGGCTGCCAGTGTCAGGCGGCCGGCTAGCAGAGTTACGAGCTCTGTCAAGGACTGCAGCCCTAAAGACCATGATGTGTGTCTCATTCATTCCTTTGAGCCTTCACTGTGTATCCATTTGGGGAGTTGGGGGTCTAGGCACAGACATTAACACATACCCACAGATTAAAGGGTAAGAGGTTTCAGGAGATTCAGTCTATGATTGGCTACTCTAAGGTAGACACATCATGTTGGAGGAAAGATATTGGTTCTGTCAGCCTGAAAGCAGAACGGGAAGTTCTAGAGAGGAAGGAGCTGGGGACAACCCGTGGTACCCAAGGTCAGACCTCCACGCCCCACCTGACGTACCCAGAAATGTAGTTTACCAATCCCCTCGGTGGTTCCCAAGGCAGACAATTGACAATCTCATGTGAAGATTTGCATGCAGTATTGTTAAAATGGCTTGATGACCAATCAGCTTGCCCCTCTGGTAAGTGGCTGTGGTGTGGCAGGCTGTGGCTGCCCGAGGGTGAGAACCACCAGCTTCTCTTGAGATCCACGCCATGTTGGAACTTAGGGTGGTGGGAAACCAAGTAGCCCGCTCACCTCCCTGGTAAGCGGCTCTGAGCCTACCTGTGTGCGGGCTGACTCAAACCACCCCCTCCTGCTTAGCAAGTGAGAGCCAGAGATCTCAGCATCTCTTGGGAGGTTGACCATATGCAATATAGCAAATAAGGGGGATTTCCTTCTAACATCTCTTTGAAGGCAAATATTTTTATCACTCTTTTGCTTTGTTCTGATTAATGGTATTGCTCTACTCAATATTCTGTTTTGATAAGTTCTGTAATGTTCTGTATTTTGTTTGATTTTGCTATATCTGATTGAAAGAACAACTATTATGAAGATAATGAGATATACTGTGGTACCTGTTGCTGTTATCCCGGTAACCTGCTGTGAAGTTCTCTACCAGTTTCACTAGACTGTCTCAGTTGGCTTTGTTCCATCTTATTCTGTTGTATTTTACTACCTTCAAAATAATAAAAGTTATTAAAATGGCTTGGTCAATTTATCTTATTGTGAGAACTATACATATATTTTAGTCAAATACGAACTTTGGTTCTGTTCAGTTAAGAAAGATATTCTTCAAATAATGCATAATCAAATTATTTTTATAACTAATAGAAAAAATAGTTGATAATGTTATGGGGAGTATCTAGAAACAAGTTATAAATTGTTTTCCCAATTAACTTAGACTTTGTAAAAAATGCATTCACATCTTTCCAAAAACCAGGAAATACTGAAAGCCTCCATTTGTTAGTATCCTCTCAAAATAGGTAACAACTTTTATAATTTCTTTTTTATTCTTGCCGAAGTTGATGAAGGTAAAAATCTACAAATAACTACTTTCTACTTTGAATTCTATTCACATTAATTCTCACTTGTTCATCCAAACACCCTGGATTTTTATTTCACATCGGTACATTTTGAACTTACACGTTCTTTCATAAATACTAAAATTCCAAATAGTGATTACATGGATGGGTACCGATGGTTGTTTTTTTTCCTCTTTGGTGGTGGGCATACTATGCCAGGTAGGCAAGTGCTCTTCCCCCCGGGTGCCCGCCAGCCCTTCGGGATTTTCATACCGATAACAAAACACACTTTCTGCGAGACAGTTGGATTGTGTCCCTATAATAAGGCATACTCCTGTGCTGTTGTAGTTCTTAAGCATGTATATCAGAAGGGTCAGGTCCTCACAGTGGGATTCCTGACAACTGTGAGTGCTGTAGTAATTTTTCCAAATTGCACTGCTCACTGGTGGAAGCCTTGGGGTAAAGAGCCATTACCTGTTACTGTTCTCTCAGTCCTGCTTTGACCTTTAACAGGACATCTTCATTTTATTATTATTTTTTGTTGTCACCAAGGGTACTGTAAAAAAAGAATTTGAGAAGTGAGAATGACCACCTAGGAGGTGAGTGCTTCTGAATTGGTGCTGGAGCTAAGCAGATACCCTGGGTGAGAGAGTCAGATATGGGAGGATAAATGAAAACCCAGCTGGACTAAAGCCTGGTGTTTGGGGAGTGTGAAGGGAAGCAGACCACTGGGGTCACAGTACGCTCCTCCACCCCAGACCTGCCCCCCTCCAGCGGGGAGAGGGTCGGGCTGAGGGAGGACACAGAAGAAATAAAAAGTCACTTCTCCCATGCACCACAGGAGAGCTGCACACCAGACACTCGGCACCCCACCGGTGCCATCCCGGGGGACCCCTGGCCCCTGCTTGGTGGGCTGCAGAGGACGGGAGAGCTGCGCAGCGCAGAACAGGAGCGGTAATAGGGAGCAGGGAGGCGGTCAGCCCCTTCTGCAGTCCCATCCTGCAGTGTTTTAGGTACGTTTCAATACCTGCGTTAATTTGTTCCACTTGCAGTCATCTTTACTTTTAGCTCATTGAAGAGGAAGTTTATGTTGGTATCTTTTTTTGTAGTAATCTTCTTGGTTTGTGTCTTGTAACTACTTTGATGATGATACACAGTGTAACAATCATCGTCCTCTTAGATTACCTATGGAAATTAGGGGTATTTTCCCACTAAGAGCACTGATTCTACGACAGACACAGTGTGGAGGGACAAACAGCCGGGGACGTCTGGGAAAGCAGAGAGCAACTTGGCAGAGCTGGAAGGCAGTGGATGCGGGCCTGCTCCTTCCCGCATGTTGGGCAGGCTGGGACACCGTGAGGCCAGCCCGCAGCTGTGCACTGGGCAGGGGCCTCAGGGGGCCTGGGTGGTGCTGGGTCTGCAGGCCGGGCTGGCCAGGTGAACAGCTGGGGCAAAGACAGCCGTGCTGGGGTCAGTGGCTTTTTGGCATCTATTAGGCAAGGAGGCGGTAGGGGACATCGTAATATCCACACCTCTAAGTGGGCTCCAGCCCTCAGAGCCTCAGAGGCCTGAGGAGGCCGCGCCAGCCCGCAGCCCATGCATTTAGTGGGAGCAGGCCCCACACCCCCATTCAGGCAGGCAGCTGTCCGGCCCACGGTGGACCCTGCTCTGCGTTCACAGCCAGACCATGATGCTGATGCGGGCGGAGCTGCGGGGTAGCTCAGGGTTGAAGCTCTGACAAGGAGTGGGAGTTTCGGGAGTTTTTTGGTCTTTCTTGAGACAGGGTCTTGCTACGCAGTTCAGGCGCCTTGAGCTCCCTTTGTAGCCCAGGCTGACCTCGAACTTGCAAGTCCTCCTGTCTCAGCCTCCTCCCGAGTGCTGGGATTACAGGCGTGTACCACCTCGCCCGGTTTGAGTGGAGGTTTTTATTCTTGGTTGTAGTTTTATTTTGGATATATTTATGTGTTACTGCTTCTTTGTTGGAATTGGGTCACTTTGGCTGCTTTTCTTTTTTCCGTTTTTTTCTTCTGATTTTCACTTCATTATTAATATTGCTTGGTTATTACACTTTAAGTTTTTAGGTTTTCCAAATAAGTACAATGCTGAGAGCAGTTCCCCAGGACATCTCATATTCAGAATCCCAGATGTCCAATAGGAAGACAGAAGCTTAAAAGCTGTCAGAGAAAAGCAAAAAATCACTTATTAAAGTAAAACCATTAGGATTCCAGAAGACTGGCAAAACTGTAAAGGCAAGAGTGAAGTGTTTCAAGCACTAAAAAAGCTCCTAACACGGAATTGTGTATTGCAGGTGGATGTTCAGCCAGGAAGTGAATAATTAGGCAATTTTCTGAACCTAGAGTTTCCCATCCTCCAGATCTGCCTTCCCTTTCCTGACATCCCAAGCTGGGAGTCAGAGTGGCGTCCAGCCTCCAAGACAGAGTAACTGAGCGTCCTTCTTTTTTTAAGGCAGCCTTGAAACATGGGGTGAGATGTGATGAGCCACCCTGGCGACCCGGCTTCTGAGCAGGTCCTAACGTGGGCCTGGCCGGGGAAGTCGCCCTGCTCCAGCTTTGTGCACTAGCAGTTCAGAAGTTCACCATCAGTGTCTGGTTTATTCTAGGCCTATGAAGCAGCAAATGGCATGCAAAACAAGCTGGACTTCTCTTTCACGTTATTTTATTTTAAATATTTTTATTTATTTTAAAGTAGATAAAACAATAAAACCAGTCAAAACAAACCAGTGTAAGAGATACAGGCCTAAAAACGTTGAAATCAATGAAAGTTACTGTAATGCCTCTTGATGTCTTCAAAATAGCTGCAGACATAGTAAAAATGAAACAGAACAGAACAGACATAGTAAAAATCAAACAGATCAGAATAGAAGCAATAAAAATAAGACAGTGCAATAAAGGACTTCACAATAAGCCAACAGTAAATCCAAAATTGCTACCATAATATATCTTGCTATCTTTGAAATAACTTCTCCTACCATGTGATTTGACATAATCAAACAAAACAAAAGAGAATAAAACCCAACCCAACAAAACAATGGAAATGGTATAGGATTTCCAAAACAAGACCATAGGGAACCAACAATGGCCACAACCCTCAGGAGGAGATCCCAACTGGATGCCACACTGGGTATCTCTGCTGAGCATATGATCAGACCACTGGCCTTAGACCTGTAATGGTAGTGAAACTCCAAAGCACCACAGGCATCCAGCTGCCTTTCACCTCCATAGCTATCATCACAGCCTGTGGTTTTCCGGATAAAACAGTTGCTTATGGCTGCCAGGGGTGGGGTGGCTGTTCCTTGTTTGCCGGCCCACACACTGGAAAGGGCTGGGATCTGGCCATCCCAGTCCAGTGGGGGTCCACACATGGTGCTGGCTCCCAGACTGGGTTTGCTCGCCGATGTGTCCTTTGTTTTTGGTAGCCTCGTCTGGAAATGGTGCTGATTCACGGGAGAGGCTAGGGTCTGGCTGTTTCAGTCTGGCAGGGGTCCGTGCATCTGGACTTCCTGTTTAAAACACTAATTCTGTCCTATTGCAACAGCAGCAGAAACACCAAAAGAACACCCAGCATTTGGAGGCAGATTTATTTTATGTCAGTGGGTGCTGATCATAATCATTCCAAAATATCGGCCTTGCAGGCCCAGGGAGGAGGTGAAAGGGGAAGCACAGAGCAGAGCAGTTCGCTCTTTGACTGATTCTCACAATATGCATCACAGTGACCAGCGGTTTCTAGGAGACAGAAGTAACAGGAACTGTGACAGGAACTGTTAGCTGGGCAGCTAACAGACTGGCCTTCAGGCATTTTCTCTTCTCACCACCTGGAAGTGGACTTCAAAACAACAGTTGGACTAAAAAGGGAGGTATGAATGAAAGAATAGCCTTTGAATGTAATTACTATTTTCATTCACAATTTTGAAGGAGGAAATCCAGGCACAGCGTATGAGTAAGGTACCCTGTGCCCCTTAGAAGGGTGCAAGCAAATGAAGAAGCAGATGCCTGATTTCCTGTGGTGCAAAGTGGGGAATTTGTCTCTCTTTTCTTGGGGTATTTCTTTAGAAGTCCAGTAACTTAAATTTTTTTCCTTGATCTTTTGAGAGATATGGAAAGCTTTCTGAAAGTTGAATGATGCTCTTGCAAATTTATGCCCCGGAATTGTTTCTCTGAAGGCCCTAGAGTCCTTCTGAATCTACATCACCCCATGTCCTCCGGTTTCCATGGGCACGAAGTCTCGGTTTCCTGGGCACCTTGCTCTGAATGCAATCCCATGCCTTGTCATTAAGATAATTCACTGGTAAGTGAACACAAGCGGACAGCCTGTGCTCCAGGTAAGTTTGGGTGAACTATGTTTGAACTCATGGTTGGATTCTCTTACTTGAATTGAGTTAGAGTTAGTCTCGGGAAACTGTATATGCCAGCTTGTATTTCTTAGGATATAAAGGTTGATTTTTTTTCTTGCAGTATCTTTTTTTTTATTTATTGGTACTGGGGATCGAACTCATGACCACGTGGTTGCAAGGCATGCGCTTATGCTGCTGAGCTACCAGCCCCTTCTTGCAGTATCTTTAATGAATGTCTTTTGTCACAGATATTCTGGTTTAATGTTTTTCAGTAAGAATATTGCTTTTTTCTCCTTTACTTCTCCGGAGAGATTCTATAGGTGGGCATACAATACTGTTTTTAATTATCTTTCTTCCACACAGGCATTAGCTGAATGGAGAACAGAACGCAGAGGATCGACCCTTGAGATGAGCTGCCGAGTCTTCTTTGGCCTGTGGTTTATCCAGGTGTCCTGTGGGTACAGCTCTCAGACTGCTTTGCTTTTTTGGAGCAGTGATTTCCTCAGTCCCTGTTTGACTCACATCTCTACAGCCTCTGTGTCCTCTCATTGCCTCTCGCTGCATCCCTAGGGATGTGATTTGCACACTTCTATGGGCTGTAATTTCCACATTGCACAACTGTGGGCCTTCTGCATTGCACAACTGTGTTTCTTGGTTGGGTCGCAATGGTTGTGAGCCATTTGCTATAGACTTTTCTTAGAGTTTTAATGAGGGAATGAGGTTGATTGTCAAGAAATGCTAGGTAGTGTCCTTAGGGGAGGTAAAAATATCTTCTGTAACCATAAGGAAAAACAGGCCACAGTGGCTTGTGCAGATGACTGCAGGCGTTTCTTGGCACTGGCACTGTAGGAGTCGGTGCTTCTGACCACTCCCAGGCTCAGGTCCTTGCCCTCATAGCTGTGTGGGATTCTCTGTCACGCTGACTAACCTGAGAGTGCCTCACAGATGCTCTGTGAAACGGGCCATCTTCTGACTCAGGTCCACTGTCCATGCCAGAGCCCTTCTCTCTGAGAAGGATGTACAGTTAAGCCTGCGCCGAGAACCACACTATTTCTTGTTTCCTTGTTGCAAGTTTAAAACAAGCAACAATCAGTATTAAACAACAGGCATTTTGCTGGTAATTTGACAGATAATTTGAGAATGATAGTGAAGGTTGCAGAAAGCCCTTTTCTCTCCCTCTCCCCTAGGCAGGGCTCTTGGGCAGGAAGGGCCGGTAGGGCCCTCTGAATTCCCCAAGAGCTGGTCAGGCCCACACAGCTGCTCTTCTCCACTTGCAGGCTCAGCTGGTGGGTGAGTTCAGGGGAGTGCAGCTCTGCGACCTCCTCTTCACTGGCCTCCATCCAGCTTTACTCCTTAGTGACTGAGTCCATGAGTCCAGTGGCTCTTCCCGACTCCGTCGTGTCCACAGAAGCAGTCGTCTCTTCCTTGGATGAAGCACGATGGTCCATTATCAGTACGAGTACCTGAGCAGACGGGAAGCTGGTTGAATCTCCTGCTGTGAAACTGCTGAGGTGGTTTTGTGTCCTGATGGTTAGGGAGCTGTATCTGATGATAAATCAAGGAAAAGGTGTTGTTTGCTGAGAATTCACAGAGAGCCCAGACAGTTCACTACCTTTCTCCGTCACATGGACTGCGCCTCCTTAGAGAACAACTTTCTTTCTGGGATTGGTCCTCGGACTGTGCAAGGTGAGTCTAGGCCAACTTTTTGGGTCCAAAAGAACAAGCTCGGAGTGAGTAGGCTGGGGATATGTCAAACAGGAAGCCAGCTTGGCTGGTCCTTTGCCATAATTAACATCATTAAAACAGTTGATGAGGTCTAACTACGTTCTACTGACCTACAGCATTGATTAATATTAATTTCCTGATTTTAGTAGGTGCTTCACAGTTATGTGAAAGAGTATTTCATTTTTAGGAGATCGGGACTAAGTTACAAGTTAAAAAGTGACTCTGGAAGATGAAGTCCCTGTGAGATGTGTGATAGCCTGGATCCTGGAATAAAACCCAAGGAAGCAAGGCATTAAAATTTGGGGAGCAAAGGCTTTATTTTAGGCCAGGCCTGGTGACACAATTCCCGGGAGCCAATTTGGAGGCTGCACGCCCCAGAGACTGAAGAAAGGGATTTTAAAAGCAGGAGAGGGAGAAAACAAACAAACAAACAAACAAAAAACCCTCAGAGCTGTTAAGCTGTTGTCTCAAGTCTGGAAACTAAAGCTATCCACTTAGTTCTGATAACATCGGGAGCCTTTGTTGCCTTTCAAGTTACTCCCATCCTGCAGATAAGCATTATCTCGGAATAGCACATCTGCAACAACATTCGGAGAAGAAAGTAGAAAGTTAATTATTTTGGGACAGCTTGTTAGCACTAACATGTGAGAAGGGGTCGAAAGTTACAAGAAGCTGAAACTTAAGTTTTTACAAGGATTTGGAACTTAACCCTTTCTGCGCATACAGAACAAGAGGAGGCGCATTACAGAACAGAAATACGGTGAGATTACTTTTTTTGGGGGGAGGGAAGAACAAGATCAGGTAAGGGTTGTGCTAACAAGCAGGTCTTCCTGCATACAAGCAAGTTACCCTTCAAACAAGTTTAAATTAGGAAAACATCCTGGTTTCCTCAGCAGAGAATAGAGAAGTCAAACAGTAATTAACAACCCTTGTTATCTTATTTTGGCACCACATCTGTTATTTGTAGAGGGCAACAATGGTTAACATATCAATTAGGTAAGATTTTGCAATTCTTTACAGAGGAGAGCATCGATTAACGTATCAATTAGGTCACAGAGGGGGAAGGAAAACATATATAAGGTATGACCATGTTACAGGTAATTTGCTATAAAACAAATATAACAAAGTTATTTTTCTTAGAATACAACAAGATGGAGTCTGTGATACGGGCTGTCTGTATCCCCACCATCCACATAGAAATGCTTGCTGGTGAGATCATTACACCTGAGGGTCAGGAGTTTTTCATCTAATTAATCCATTTAATCTATACTTTGAAATTTATTCTGAAAAAGGTGTACCTGTATTCCCTTTCAGTACTGGGATGTTACAAGCATTTTTTAAAATTTTGTTTTATTTTAAGGGTAATAAAGTCCAGTAAAACAAAACAGAATCAAACCAATCAAAACAGAACATTGTATAAACAAAACAATAAATCAGAACAAAACAAAACAGCAAGAACCATATTGGATTTCAAGAACAGGATCAAAGGAAATCCCCCATATTTGCTGTATTGCATACTGTTATTCTCCCCAAAGATGCTCAGACCGCCATCCCCAGGCCTGCAAAGTCAACCGAACAGTACAAGCATTCACTTGCTTTATGCCTCAGTCACTGTCAGCTCAGCCTGCCCTCTGAGAGAGCCAGCTGCCTGCACGGTGGGGAGCTGGTTTTGTTTCCAGCCCGCCCTGGTAGCTGTGCAGGGGCACCTTCTGGCTTCTCTCTTCCTGGGTCCCACATGGCCTGCTTGTGCAGCTTATTGGAAGATCTAATTGTGATTTGCTGATGTACTCTACACTTTTAATTTAAAATTCTTTAGTTTCCCTCAGTTATTCTTTAAAATTTTTTTTTAATCTGAAAATCTATTCAGTAAAAAAATGTGTTCCCTACTTTTGCTATTTGCAATTCAGGTCATACAATACCACCTGCGTGTTTTCTCTTTTAGAAATGTCATTCATTTTTCCTTCATCCAAACTGTATATGCAGACGTGTTCCTGTGTCTGCATTTGCTGCTTAGGGAAAACAAGCACAGGCTCATTAAGCACATCTCACCCTTCTGCAAGCTGTGCAGCCCGTCATGCTGGATGCAGCCCAGCTCATTCACCCAGGTTTCAGTGCAGTAGGCATCTCCCTTGTATGTGGTCACTGAAATCACAGGCAAGATGGAGATGCACATTTTGAATGGTAAGCACTTTTCTCTGTAGATGTGACTGCAACAATAGGATTGATTTCTTTTTTTTTTTTTTTTTTTAATTTTATGGGGGCTGGGGATTTAGCTCAGTGGCATAAGCACCTGCTTTGCGAGCAGATGGTCGTGAGTTCGATCCTCGGTACTGATAAATAAATAAATAAAAATAAAAATAAAATAAAGGCTTAAAATAAAAAGAACTATAAATATCTTTAAAAAATTTTTATTTAAAGAAAAAAAACCCAAAATAGTAAAAGGGTACAAGTAATACAGAATTTAAAAAAAAAAAAAATAAATAAATAAGCAGTAAGAAATCACTAGTTAATAGATTACATATTGTCATCTTAGAAATAGTTGTTCAAGTTACAAACTTAAAGCCTGCAAAGTGGACATTCAAACAGTGAGACTCCAAACAGTTGTGTTCAATGATCCATCAAAAACTTAGTAATATGGTCATCTATCTTGCACACCTAAACACACTTGCAGTTGTGTCCTTTAGAGCACTTTCTTTTCCTCTCTTTTTTACAATAACATTTACACATTTTGGGTTTTATTACTCCCACAGTTCTTATTACTTTTTAGGATTGGTTTCTAAAAAACAAAACAAAATGAAATGAAACAAAACAAAGCACCACAGTGTATGTGTGTGACTAACTTTATTGCCTGATTGTTAATCACATAATGAACTAGGGGCCAGGCCTTCACCACATGCCCAAGCCCTTGGTCCCTCAGCTTGATCCATGGTACGCTGTCAAACATGGAATTTTATCCAGGATTTCACTAAAGGACCACTTCAAATCAGGTCTATTGAATATTTCTCAAATATAAAGAGTTTGGACACAAACACCCGTACTTAGAGGTGGTAAAATGTGTCAGTGTCTCCTTCACTATGACTTGAAGTCTTCCTTCTGCAGGCCCTGCCTCTCCAGGCCCCGACACCCAGGTCCCCCCCAGAGAGGAGCCCAGCCCCCCACAGCTTGCTGACTAACTACTGTCTACTTTGTTTTTCTAATTTAGAGAAGCCAGATTGTGTTGAGGCAGGAAACATCTGTCAAGTCCCACCTGTCAAGTACAAGTGACAATAATGGATCACTGTACCAATAAAAAAGTGTGCAAATATTAATCTGAAAGTCCTGACACAGATTTGCTTTTCTGGCATGTGTTTCTTCCTCCTGCTGGTTTTTCTCTCTAGTCAGAATGGACACAGATCGGTAGTTGCACAAACGGGAAGATAAATGACACATGACAGCAGTGGGAGAAAGGAAACCTTGAAGATGAGTGTTTTGCAAATCTTCCAGGAGCTCATGATGCAGATTAAGGCTGTCCTATAGTAGGCGTATTTTTATAAAAACAAAAAGAAAAGTGAAATCTGAGTAACTCACTTTTGACAGCCGTACACCTTTATACCCGTGGATTACTATAGAACGTCCTATACTCTGAACCACCCTGCTGTATTCCTGCTGAAGCCCAGCTTCCCACAAACTCGCCCAGCTGGTTATTAAATGCATCAGGGAAGTAAGCTTTCACAGAGGTCACCGGACTCCTTTGATGGCTGAACAACTCTGGGAACTCTTTGATCAGCTGAGCCTGTACTGCGAGGTGGTTCCCGATACTTCTCTGTGATTTTCCTTCCTCTGCCCCTCAGGATTACACTTGCTTGCATGGTGGCCTGATGAGTCAGTGTCCTTTGCTGTTACAGCACTTTGTCTGATAGCACTAAAGTTTGCTTAGTGATTGCTTCCAAAGTGCAGGGAGTAATTCTGTGCCTCAGGAGTTGTCCCTGCTCTGACTGACAGCTTGGAACTGTGCAGAGATGTCTCCAGAAGTTGTAAACTCTAAACAGGGAAACTTTGCTGATTGCTCATTCTTGTTTTCTTCTATTAAAGCAGTTAAGCCCAAGACAACTTCTGAGCCAAACAAATGCAGTAATTGTGGAAGGAGAGGGAAAGTTGTACCTCAGGGAAATGAGGTTCAGCAGAGGGTTTCCTTCTCCCCGACAGAGCACAACTCTGACATTTGTCAGTTGCTGGCAGCCCAGAGCTCTGCAATCCTAAAGGTACAAATATGACTTGGGGAGCTGCACCTTGCCAGGTGGACCAGCTCAGAGCTCAGGTGACCCCAGCTGCCAGGAGAGTAGGCCTGAGCCCTCCTCCTTTACTCACCTGTGCCAGGTACATTCCCCTCGGAAGATGAAATCTTAACCTCTTTTTCATGAAGCAAGGGAGCTGGTGAAAGGTCTCAGAGTCAGGACATTAACTCTTTTTTTGATTTTTAGTAGGCCAAAAGTTTTAGGCGCTGGGTTCAGGGAGCTGTGACTCAAGAAAAGCTGGAGCAGCAAGGCTCACCAGAGTGTCTGGGTGGCCTTGGGGTGGCCCTCACCTCGCATTCTTCCAGAAGTTAGGATCAGTGAGGGACTTTTTATATTGCTGAGGAAGCCTCTGTTTTCTTCAGCCTTCGATTTTAAGAGTATTCTAACTTGTCAGTATCACTAGCTGTCATAAAATTTGTTTCCCTCATTTTAGATGCATTGGTGTAATTCTAAAGTAGACAGGCTTTCTCTTTTTTATTACACTGATAACTCTTTACAAACATTTGTGTTTAATATGAAGGTTTTTTTGGACACATTTTCTTAAAATTTATGTATACTAACACTTATTATGTGACTGTTTGATGTGGTTTTATTAAAGGTTTTAACCTTTATTAAAGGTAAAAATTATAGTTATTCCTTGAGAATTCCTATGAATTTAGTAGGTTGTGACTCAGTACAAACTAGGGTAACTCATTTTAATTTTCTGCAGTGTTTGGCAGTCATAGCAATAGTCTCATTGTTTGTGTTGAGAAATCTGAGCTCAGAGTGGGTGCCCTTCCCTGCCTACGCTCTGGGCTTTCAATCCAGACAGGGTACTGAGCATCAACCTGAATGGAAAGTCTGTTATTATCATCCTTTGTGGTACTGGTTCACAAGTCACCTAGAGAGAGGCTCCTCTGACATTTTTCAATTTGTTTTCTCAGGAACACAATAAGTGAGTGCTGAGGTGTCTCAGGGATAGATCCCAAATTTGATTCAGAGTTTTGTAATTTGGAAAGGCAAAGACAGGACTGGAAATAAGTGGAAATTCCTTGGACTAAGGAAAAAAAAAGACCAAGGAAATTATTTGATGAGCCCAGAAGAGAACTGGTGAGTATATCATGGCTTTGAGGCATTTTGAATATAATCATTTTAGCAGGCTCGAGTCTCTAACTAAATATTCAATCAGTTTGTATTTGACGCTCATTAATTAATACTCCTCTGCTTGTTAAGAAAACTTGTAGCACAGCTCATTGTGCTAGACATTCAGGGTTGTGTATCTTTCCTTAATACACTGATGCAGGCAATTGTGTATTAGGAAAAGGATGCTTGAAAGCACATAACCAGTACCCACAGAGTCACAATGCTCTTTGTTGCCAAACCTTAGTACAAACTGTGTTTACACAGTTCATGCTGACATGGACCTGCAGGACAGTGAATTCAAAGGGAATTCCTTAATACTCGGTAGAAAACCAGAGAGGGCTGCTTGCCTGAATGTATTCCAGATTCGTTATGTAGCCCACAAAGAAACCCAGGAATTAGATCAGAGATTCTGGGTTCTTTCATTTTAGAGAAGCTTTCCCTAGTTTGACACAAACTGCTTCTGTGAGAAATGAGATTGGAACATTTATATGTAAAAGACTCCAATGCCACCCAAGCCTAAGGCGTGAAAACTTTTGAATGATAAAGACTAATGCAGCACATTGTTATCTGGTGGGAAAAAGCACCCAGTTCATGCCTCCTGCAAATCATTGTTTCTCCCAAGGTCTTGCAGTAGCTGGGAAATTCTATTGCAACTCTGTCTTTGAGTATTGTTTCCAGAGCTACGACTCCCCAAAATATTGTGCTGCATTCAGCCATTATTGAGGAGCCTAATTCATAAGCTGCTCTCGTCGCATGGCACGGGTGATGCCCGATTATTCCCCATCTTCTAGTCTACCTTAGTAAACATCAACACATCCAGAATGGATCTGGGCTTCACACAGAGGTCCTTGAGGTCACTCACGGGGAACTCAGAACTCTCCTCACTCTTTCTTGGATGATAGTTCAAGGGCTCCTGTATGGTACTGCCCACCCGCTACAGGAATTTCGGGTGAGGGAGGGGTGGCATACATGCTGATATTTAACACTGGTGAGATATATAGTGCTTTTCACAAGTACATTGGTTTTGCTGGTAACTAAAAAATAATGTCTCCATTGAAATTTAGACATTTGAATACTGATCCTTAAGATGAATTTGAGAGTACATAGAATCAACCACAGAGAATGCCATATAAAAGGAAATCATGTCCCAAAGATGTGTATCATTACAGACATTGTGACTGTCCTTTGTACTTCAGAAAACTGCTAGAGAAAGAAGCAGTTTTTGCAGATATAGATAAGCATTACTGATGCTTTATTGGCCCCAGGCTGTCCTGTATATGAGTAAGAAATGGCTTTAAACCTTGTCAAGGGAATCATCTTCCTCTCTCCAACTGTGCTTGGCATTCTGGGGAATGTTACTGTGTTTGTGAATTATGTTCTCCTCCTTGGAGGCACCGAGATGAAATCTGTACAACTTATTCTCATTCACTTGGCTTTTACAAATATCATCATACTTTTTGCAAAAGGGATTCCTAAGACAGTATCAGCTTTTGGGCAGGGACTCTTCCTCCATGACACAGGCTGCAAGATTGTTGTTTATGTGGAGCGGGTGGCCCGGGGCCTCTCCATCTGCACCAGCAGCCTCCTCACAGTGACACAAGCCGGCACCATGAGTCCCACAGACTCCGTGTGGAGGAGGCTCAAGCTGAAGTCACCAAGGCACATGCTTTCCATATTCATCTTGTTTTGGATTCTCAATTCCTTAATAAGCATGAACTTACCACTTTCTATCATAAGTATCAACAGTGTGAACATATCACAAATTACTAAAGGTGACAAGTATTGCTATTTTCTACCTGAAGGATGGATAATAAGATGGACATTTCTCCTTCTGATGGTTCTACGGGATGCTGTGTTTCTGGGCATCATGGGTGGGTCCAGTGGCTACCTGGTGTTTCTTCTCTGCAGGCATCACCAGCGTGTTCTCCACCTGCAGAGCTCCAAGTTCCTCTACAAAACTCCCCCTGAGATCAGAGCTGCTCAAAGCGTTCTCTTTCTGATGCTCTGTTTTCTTGTCTTTTATTGGGCAGATTGTGCTTTTTCCATGTTGTTTAGCTCCTCTCTCAATATTGATTCTGTGGTGTTAAATATTCAAGAATATGTAAGTCTTGGTTATGCCATGCTGAGCCCATTCGTGCTGATTCACAGAGATGAACAGCTGGGTACATGTTGTCACAGTCAAGAGGACAGCAAAACCCACAGGAACTGTTTTACTGATTTTTTCTGTAACTAAATTTGAAATGAATCTTAGTTCTGCAATCCCATGTATAAAGCAGAATAGAGTCAAAGTAGCTGAGGTGCATAGGGATTTGTGGTCAGACTATCAGCCTGCTGACTGCAACCCTTAGCTGACACAATGCACCGAAGACTTGAATGACACAGAACTCTGTCCTTCTGCTGTGCCCCTCCCCAAATGGCATCAAATGTGTGAGCATGAGCCTGGTGTTTCACTGCCAAAGTTCTTGTGGGGATCAAGACCACAGTTTGGTAAATTTTATCCAAAACATTAGTGCATCCACATTTTTGCCCAGGATTTCCACTTGTAGGTCAGTTTTATAGAGATGCTTATTCTTTATATTCAGAAAAGTATGGGACATTCTTCACTGTTCATTAGTTCATAAGCACAATAGTGGCAAAAGAGCTTTTTGAAATCATAAAGAGAGACATATCAGTTGTCACTTTCAGGCGGAGTAGGCCTGTGAATGAGTAATAGATTCAAAATGCCATAAGCACATTACACTTCATGTTAATATGAAATGACCAGAGGAGTGAAGTCAAAGTATAAGTTCTGGTCAAATGATTGTATCATATAGTAAGTACTGTTTTGTGACTCTCCAATTTTACTGAGCTTTATAAATGGAATGTTATGCCATTGATGATGTATAAATAAATTATATCTGAAAAAATTTTGGCCTGTTTGTACACATCATTTGTTAGAGCACTGAAACTGCCTACAACACTGTTAATTTCCTTATCCTTTTTTTATAGTGACATCTTTGCTTTTTAAAAATTTTTTATTTAAAAAAGATTAAGATAAAAGAGGACATAACAACACGAGTCAGAACAGAACGATTTAAGCAACATAGTGTTTTACCACAAGACAACCAGATGTAACGGTAGTTACCATAGTGTCTCTTTCCTTGAAATACTTGAGTATACCTTCATATACTACAGCATCAAATGTAACAAGACAATGTAAAACCATTTAAGAGAATGGAAAGTGTTACAGGGTATTCAGAACCAACTAACAGAAAATGAACAATGGTTATTATATTATCTCCTTGTCCATAAAACATTTGTTTATACTATCATATATATATGATAAAATCCAATAAGATACAACATGATAAAACAGATGGAGACAGAAGAACGAAAGCTTGGTGGGACTTCAAAACGAGATGATATTTAATCAGCATTAGCTATTATAGTGTCTTGTTTTCTTCAGAATAGCTGTTTTGACATCACGGACAATAAAATCAAACAATCCAGAATAAAACCATTCCAACTAATGAATGAAAAAATTATAAGGCTTCAAAGTAATATAATGGGGAATCATGATCACCACATACTTTTATGTATTTTTACCATTTCTTACACTCGGGAAACTATTCGGTGTTTATATATATATGTGAGTTTGACTTATTTCGCTTGTGAGGATGGTCTCAAGCTGCGTCCATTTCTTTATAAACATCTCAATGTGATCCTTCTTTATTGCTGAGTACTGCTCCATTGTATAAAAATACCACATCTTTTTTATCCATTCCTCAGTTGATGGACACTTGGGTTGTTTCCAAGATCTGGCGATTTCAAATTGTGCTTCTATAAACATGGATACACATATATCACTGTGGTCCGATGCTTTCAGTTCTGGGAATATGCCTAGAAGTGGAATAGCTGGAACAAATGGGACTTCCAATGCCAGCTTTTTGACAAATCTCCAGACTGACCTCCACAATGGTTGCACCAGTCTACACTCCCACCAATTGTGCAGGAGGGTTCCTTTTCCCCCACAGCCTCTCCAGCATTTGTTGTTGGTGTTTTTCTTGATCCAGGCCATTCTTTCAGGACTGAGATGGAATCTCAGTGTGATTTTAATTTGCATTTCTCTAATGAGTAATGATGATGAACATTTTTTCATGTATTTATTTGATATTTGTATTTATTCATTTGAGAAGTGTGTATTCATCTCAGATGCCCATATTTGGATTGGATCTTTGAATTTTGGGGGTCTGATTTTTTAATTTTTGTATGTTTTAGACAGAAGTCGTTTGTCTGAGGAACAGTTCACTAAGATTTTTCCCCAGTTTGTGGGTTTTCTTTTCACTATGCTGGAGATCTCTTTTGACATGCAGAAACTTTTTAATAAGAGGTGATCCCGGTTACTGATTTCCCGTGAGATCTGATTCCTGTTCGGGAATTCTCTACCTACCCCTATGTCTTCAAGGTTTTTACCCAATTTGTCTTCCAATAGATTTCTTCCCATAGATTTCTGTTTTAATATTCAGATCTTTGATCCATTTAGATTTTATTTTAGTACACGATGATAGGCATGGGTCTAGTTTTAGATTTTGGCATATGGAGAGCCAGTTTTTCCAACACCATTTATTAAAGAGACTGTCGTTCTTCCAGTGAACATGTTTGGCCTCTTTATCAAAGATAAGGTGGTTGAGTGTGTTTGTAGTTGTAGTTGTATCTTCTAATCTATTCCACTGATCTTCGGCTCTGTTTTTATTCCAGTACCATGTTGATTTTACTACAGTTGCTTTGTAGTATAACTTCAAGTCAGGGATTGTGATGCCTCCTGCCTTGCCTTTGTGGCTTAGAACTGTCTTTGCTATTCTAGGTCTCTTCTAGTTCCAGATGAATTTTAGGAGTGATTTCTCGAGTTCTATGAGGTATGTTGATGGTATTTTTATTGGGATTGCATTGAATCTGTATAAAAGTTTTGGGAGAATGGCCATTTTCACAATATTTATTCTTCCTATTCATGAGCAAGGGATGTTTTTCCATTTTCTGAGATCATCTTCAATTTCATTTTTCAGTGTATTGTAATTTTCCCTATATAGGTCTTTCACTTCTTTTGTGAGAGTAATTCCTAAATATTTCATTTTTTTGGTTGCTAGTGTGAAGGGTGTTGCCTCTCTTATTTCTGTCTCTGAGACTTAGTTGTTAGTGTATAGGAATGCTATTGATTTTTGAGTATTGATTCTGTATCCAGCTACATTGCTGAATTTATTTATTATATCTAGGAGTCTTTCAATGGAATTTTGGGGATCTTCTATATAAAGTATAATGTCATCTGCAAATAATGATAATTTAACTTCTTCTTTTCCTATCTTTATGCCTTTTATTTATCTCTCTTGTCTAATTGGCTCTGGCCAGTATTTCCAGTATTATATTAAATAGGAGTGGTGATAAGGGACATCCTTGTCTTGTGCCTGATTTTAAAGTAAAGGCCTTCAGATTTTGGCCATTTAGTATGATATTGGCTGTTGGTTTGTCATAGATGGCCTTAATTATATTGAGGTAAAGACTATCTATTCCAATTTGCTGTAAGGTTCTAATCATTAATGAATGTTGGACCTTATCAAAGGCTTTTTCTGCATCTATAGAAATGATCATGTGACTCTTACTTTTGGTTTTATTGATATGGTGGATTACATTTATTGATTTATGTATGTTGAACCATCCCTGCATGCCTGGGATGAATCCCACTTGGTCTGGTGTATGATCTTCTTGATGATTTGCTGCATCCTGTTTACTAATATTTTATTGAGGATTTTTTCATCTGTGTTCATTAGGGAGATTGGTCTGCAGTTCTCTTTTTCAGTTGGGTGCTTCTCTGGTTTTGGTACTAGAGTAATATTGCTTCTAGGAATGATTTAGGAAGGATTGCTTCCCTTTCAATTTCATTGAAGAGTTTGAGGAGTGTTGGCATTAGGTCATCTTTGTATTTCTTGTAAAATTCTGCAGTGTATCTGTCTGGGCCTGGGCTCTTCTTTGTAGGTAAAGATTTAATTACGTTTTCAATTTCATTAATAGAAATTGGGTTATTCAATAGTTTTACATCTTCATGACCTAGCTTTGATACTTCGTATGCTTCTATGAATCTGTCCATTTCCTCTGTGTTATCAAACCTTTGAGAGTAGAGGTTTCCAAATAAGTGTTGATGAACTTCTGTATTTTTATAGGGTCTGTAGTAATGTCATCTCTTTCACTCCTTATTGCATCAATATGAGCTTTTTCTTCTCTTTTTTAAATAAGGTTGGCTAGGGGCTTGTTGATTTTATTTATTCTTTCAAAGAATCAGCTCTTTGATTCGTTCATTTTTTGTTTTTTTGGTCTCTATTGCATTGATTTCTGCTCTGATTTTTATAATTTCTTCTTTTCTTTTGGCTTTGGGCTTGACTTGATCTTCTTTTTGTAGATGTTTGAAGTGTAGCATCAGGGTTATTTATTTGTATTTGCTCTGTTTTCCTGATGTGGGAACTCAGTGCAATAAATTTTCGTCTGAGGACAGCTTTCATTGCATCCCACAGATTCCGGTAAGTTGTATTTGTGTTTTCATTTGTTTGTAGGTATTTTTAAATTTCTTCTTTAATTTTCTTGGTGACCACTGATTATTCGAGAGTGTGTTATTCAGTTTCCATGTGTTTTTGGGATTTTTGCCGTATCTTTTATCATTAATTTCTAATTTCACAGCACTATGGTCTGATAGCATGCAAGGGATAATTTTGACCCTTTTGTATTTATTTAAATATGTTCTGTGAATTAATATATTGTCTATTTTAGAGAAGGACCCATGTACTCCTGAGAAGAATGTGTATTCTGTTGTTGTTGGGTGATATACTCTGTATGTGTCCATTTGTTCACAGGTGCGAGTCAGTTCTTTTATTTCTTTGTTGATTTTCTGTCTGGTTGATCTGTCCATTGGTGTCAATGGTGTGTTAAGATCTCTTGTTAGAATTGTGTTACTGCTAATTTGGTTTCTCATTTCTGTTAGTACTTGTTTTATATAACATGGTGCTCTGGAGTTTGGTGCATATATATTTAAGATAGTTATCTCTTCCTCTTGAAGTTTTCCCCTAACCCGTATGTAGTGTCCTTCTTTATCCTTTCTGATCATTATTGGTTTGAAATTCAGGTTATCTGCAAACAGAATAGCTACCCCCGCTTTTTTTTTTTGAGTTCCTGTTGCATGAAGTATTGTTTTCCATCCTTTGACTTTGAGTCTGTGAGTATCCTTTTGGGTTAGATGAGTTTCTTGTAGAGAGCATATGGTTGGGTTCTGTTTCTTGATCCATTCTGCCAGTCTGTTTCTTTTATTTGGTGCATTGAGACCATTTACATTAACGGTTATAACTGTTATATATTGGTTTGTTGTTGACATGTTATCTTTTTGCTTTTGGAACTTTATCTTTCCGCTGTTTAATTGTCTGCTTTGTTTAGTGGTTTTTTTCCTAAGTGTATCTAGGCTGTCTTTCAGTATTCTTTGCAGGGTTGGCTTGGTGATCATGAAGTTTTTCAGCTGTTCTTTGTCATGGAAGTATCTAATTTCTCCATCGATTTTGAAGGACAGTTTTGCAAGGTACATCAGTCTAGGTTGGAAATCATTTTGCTTTAGGATCTGGAATACTCCTCTCCATGCTCTTCTTGACTTTATTGTTTGTGCTGAGAAGTCTGCTGTGATTCTGATAGGTTTTCCTTTATAGGTGATCTGTCTTTCTCTCTGACAGCTTTTAAAATTCTATTTTTTTGTTCAATTTCTGGGATGTTCATTATTATATGTCTGGGTGTAGATTTATTTTGGTTATGGCTATTTGGAGTTCTGTATGCTTCATTTATCTTGATATCAGTTTCTTATCTCATGTTTAGGAAATTTTCAGCTATTACTTTTCTA